GCAGTATTACATTGTATAGGGTTCCAGACAGTGACTGAGGTTTGAAGCAGTATTACTTTGTATAGGGTTCCAGACAGTGATTGAGGTTTGAGGCAGTATTACATTGTATAGGGTTCCAGACAGTGACTGAGGTTTGAAGCAGTATTACTTTGTATAGGGTTCCAGACAGTGATTTGGGTTTGAAGCAGTATTACTTTGTATAGGGTTCTAGACAGTGACTGAGGTTTGAAGCAGTATTACATTGTATAGGGTTCCAGACAGTGATTTGAATACACTTGAAGCACCAAGTACCAGACAGCTATTTATTATGATGGCACTATAAATATTGTTATGACGAAGTAGACCAACTGCGCAACACAAAACCTGTCATAATTCCTTAGGCTACAATACTTGTTGTATTTTTACTTATTAAAACCATGTGTACAGGTTTCACGAGATGCACATCGGACCCAGAGAAGATTTCTGATTGATAGCTAGCACTGCAATGCATTATAGAACAGCAATGTTTTCCAACAAAGAATGATCATTTTATCACCAAAAGTGGTTTGTTTGCCAAGATTACACCTATCACTTCTGATAATACATATCAAACATAAAAAGATGAGTCATTGTTCTGAAATTCCAGAAAGTTTTACAAAATAACAGGACAACATTAATGAAACTGTCAAAAGAAACCTTTACCTACAGAAAGAACTTCTTTCATGATAACTGCATAAAAGCTGTTTATCATCTGAATCTGAAACACTTTTATGTCATGTTTTAGTAACATTTAATAATCATCAGGTTTAATACATGGTCAACATCCTGATAATACTATTTTATCTCTTATATCTATATATAAATGAAGCAATCATTGGAATGTTTTCCAATTTACATAATATTCTAACATCAGGAAATTATGAAATATGCTTTACCAGTTGTATGTGGTCTCTCACAGTTTGGTGACAGACACAAACAGGATGTTTTACCATGCCCTTGGAGGATTCATCAATCCCTGTAACTGGTTTATTGCATTGGCCACTTTTGGAGCTATATCTACTTTAGTAATGTCCCAGGTTTCAAACGAAGATGTTAAAATATCAATTAGTTCCACCGCTACTTGACCTTGGAACTCTCGTGGAACTCTAATGAATCCTGATGCATACAGCAATTAACTTGGATGCCAAAAGTGTTGAACTCCAACTAAGCCTCCATTTGTGCAACATCAATAATTGAAAATTATTATTATTTTTCCTCAGGAGTAACAGACAACCTTCCATATATCATTACTACATTCCCTGGAGTTGTTAACAGCCACCCAGATATCATAACTACCTCCCCTGGGGTTGTTAACAGACACCCAAATATCATTGCTACCTTCCCTGGAGTTGTTAACAGCCACCCAAATATCATAACTACCTTCCCTGGAGTTGTTAACAGACACCCAAATATCATTGCTACCTTCCCTGGAGTTGTTAACAGACACCCAAATAACATTGCTACCTTCCCTGGAGTTGTTAACAGCCACCCAAATATCATTGCTTCTTTCCCTGGAGTTGTTAACAGACACCCAAAAATCATTGCTACCTCTTTTGGAGTTGTTAACAGACACCCAAATATCATTGCTACCTTCCATGGAGATGTAAACAGCCACCCAAATATCATTGCTACCTTCCCTGGAGTTGTTAACAGCCACCCAAATATCATTGCTACCTTCCCTAGATTTGTTAACAGCCACCCAAATATCATTGCTACCTTCCCTGGAGTTGTTAACAAACGCCCAAATATCATAACTACCTTCCCTGGAGTTGTTAACAGCCACCCAAATATCATTGCTACCTTCCCTGGAGTTGTTAACAGACACCCAAATATCATTGCTTCTTTCCCTGGAGTTGGTTAACAGACACCCAAATATCATTGCTACCTTCCCTTGAGTTGTTAACAGCCACCCAAATATCATTACTACCTCCCCTGGAGATGTTAACAGCCACCCAAATATCATTACTACCTCCCCTGGAGATGTTAACAGCCACACAAATATCATTACTACCTCCCCCGGAGATGTTAACAGCCACACAAATATCATTACTACCTCCCCTGGAGATGTTAACAGCCACCCAAATATCATTACTACCTCCCCTGGAGATGTTAACAGCCACCCAAATATCATTACTACCTCCCCTGGAGATGTTAACAGCCAGACAAATATCATTACTACCTCTTCAAGAGTTGTAAGCAGCCACCCAAATATCATTACTTCCTCCCCTGGAGATGTAAACAGCCACCCAAATATCATTACTACCTTCCCTGGAGATATAAATAGTCTTCAAAATAAGACTAGTGATAAAGTTGTTCTAGACATAATCTTGTTGGATCATCCATCCATTACAATAAAGGATTAAACGAACATTACACTATGACAGTCAATATTGGAAAAACTTGTAATAACACTGGGAACAACCTGTGACTCTGCAGTGTAGTGTTTTTTAATTGGTCATTTCCATTATAGCTGTGATATAAACAGATAGCCTCCAGCAATGCAACAAACTTTCATATATAAATTGTCCACACTATCCCTGGCCAACAGCTCATGATATTGGTAACACACGCAGTAGTCAGTCATACCAGCTGTATATCTATATCCATATTCCAATTATGCCAATATTTGTACAAATTTAGACAATAGCAGATTTGTAAATATTTCGTAATTTAATCTGGTGTCTTGTCACTCAGCTAGGTATTGATTTTTTTTCTCCATTTGTACGCAGAAAAAGCCCATTAGAATGTTTCCAACAAATTCAATAAGAATTGATTGATACTGGGCCCAAGCCTGAAACAGGGAACAAATTGTACCTAGAGTGGCACAACCAGACTGTGTCTAGAATTGTCAGTAAAAAGCAGACTGCTTCGTTTATTTGTTTATAACTTTCTTAGCTAGACAGATTGCAAGAGCAACAGTTTTTTTCTTATATCAATGAAAAAGTAGGCCCTGCCCATGATAAACACTACTTATACATGTATGTTGCTATTCTACTACTAGTATTCCAAATATAAATAAACAAAAATATGATCAAAAAGGTTATTTCTCTGTACAACAATTAATAAACATTACTACCATGGCCACCTCCCTGTGGGTGGATGGGGGAAATGACCAATGTGAGGATTATGGAATTTACTATTTGGAAATAAAGTGTAAGAGGTTAATTTTTAATTTTCCTCTAATTCAGTGGGCGTTCATAATGCCTATTAACACCACCTGAAAACAGTTTAATACTTATATTTATTCTCACATTGGTGTCTTCAACAAATAATTTAACATTGAAAAAATAAACAAGAGGCCCAATGGACCTGCATCACTAATCTGGTATTAATCTCACACTTACAGGTACTTTCCCGGGTATTTTGGGAATTGCGACAATCATAAAATTGGGAAAAATTCGTGGCATAAGGGGAAAATTGGTAAAAACCACATATTAAAAAAACTTCAAACACTAAATAATACTGTATTATGGTTTTTAATAGTTGATTTCAAGTGGCATACTGGACGTTACAGCAACCATGGTTACTGTTCGACTTTCTGAAGTGACTGTATGACTGTCTGTGGTCATCTTTTCCGACTCGTCATTGTGACTGTCGCCGGAGTCGGTCTCAAAGTTTATCTGACCTTCAGCCGGTTCAGATTTGTGATCAATGACAGAAAGAGCATTGTTCACTTGAGAAGGGTTAATAGTCCGAGTGGTACCCTCCGACTCGTCATTACATGGGGGACTGGCAGTACAGGGATCGACTTTAGGCCGCTTGGGAAAGAAAGACGAAATCGGCGTCGAAATCTCCCATTTTGGTACCTCTTTTATAGAATTTTCCATTGTGCGACATGTTGATGTTACAGTGTCTACACAACGTTTGAGCATAGCGATAAGGGAGCACTTCAGATTAAAACACACAAGCGACACAAATTTCAGACTTATAATAAACAAAACTGAACTAACAAAATCTGGATTTGAAGAAAAAAACGGCACACTGATTGGAATTTCCCGCCCCTGAATTGGTAATTTTCCCAATTGGTACTTGTATTATGTACCATTTATATAGGCAGGAAAGACCCTGACTTATAGCCTTAAAAGTGGACTAAAATAACATTGGACTCCTGTGACCTTGAAAGTCTAACAATGTCATTCAATTGAAAAAACTTCATAGACCTACATCCCAGCATGTCACCACCTTATATATCTCGTTTATTGATTTGAGACAATTTAAAAGTTTATACACATTTGACCTTGTGACCTTGAAAGTGAGTCAAGGTCATTCACATGAAAAAACCTGATTGCTCTTCATCTGAGCATATGCTACTAGCCAAATATCACCACCCTAGGTCTTTTTATTTTTAAGACAAATGACCACATGACCCTGAATATGGTCATTCATTTGAAAAAACTTGTTAGCCCTTCATATCAGCATGCTACTGCAGGCCTAACTTAACCATAGCAATTGTGGTTATTCAAAAGTCGTTAAAAAGCTTTTAACATTATGAAGTGAACCTCTGTGAAATTCAATATGAGTCAAGGCCAATAATTTAGCATACTTGGTAGCCCTTCCTTCCAGTACATGTAACTGGCTGAATATCACCCAAGAACTTTGGGTTATTTAGAAGAATTTGTTGCAGGATCTCATTATATTTGACCCCTTTGACCTGGAATATGGATGAAGGTAAGCAATTGAAAACACTTTGTAGCCCTTTATCCCAGCATGTAACTGACCATATATTATCACTCTGGACCTTTTGGTTATTTAGAAGTTGTTGAAAGATTACAACATATTTGATCTCTCTGACCTTCAATATGAGTGAAGTATTCTTATGTAAAAAGAAAATACCTCTGGATCATCTTTTCAAAGTTTATTAATGGTCATGCGTTCATGTCCAAACAAACCTCATTTAAATCATGCTGACACACATGTACATACCTCACAAACATTATAGTCATCAGAGTCCAGGCTTCCACACAGCGATGGTAGAAGCTCTGTCCAGTTCCTCAGCTCACCTTTGGCTACGATGGTGGTTACCAGAATGCCTATGGTGGCCCGGATCAGCGGCGATGGGTCCCCGATACTGTTCAGGCATTCCTGTTTAATAAAGTTGGTCACCTCAGGAGGAAACTTTTCAAAGTGGGCTCTTACGTTGTTCTTCAAAATTAATCCACTCAGTGACCGGGTTGGGTCATCTACAAACAAAGTTTTGTATCTATTACTTAAATCATATTATGGTACATATGTATGAAAATATGAAATTCATGAATTTTTAGATAGTTGAGGAATTTTTACAGTTCAAAATTCAAACTGTTATTTTTATAAGAGATTTAGAAGAAAAAACTAACTGCTGTTGCTACATTAATATTGTTCCCACAAAACATGATATAGAGATTATAAAAAAACAAAAAAAAACTGTTTTATATATAAAGCACTTAAAAGAATGTAGGCTTGTTAATTGATTATCCAAAATAGACCAAACTAGAAAATGTCCAATGATTTCCGATTAGACGGACATAGTATCTCAATAAAAGGCAGGTGCTTAAAAAACAGTAATGTTAGACAAAATAAGGAATGTCTGTCAGACAAGAAAAAACAATGATTTAATTCTGTTCTTATTAAAAATAGTTTTTTTTAAATGTCCATGACTCACCTTCAGAGGTCAGCTTTGTCAGTACAAATATCAGGTAGTTGTTGAAGTCTGGGTATTTGTTTAATTCCTCAAGTTTCTGGTAGTATTGGTTAAGGCATATTAATCATTATTGATGTAAAAGTAAAAACAATATAAACACATACCAGGTACTTGATCTTGTATATGGATGTACAAATTCAGATGAAAATCTGTCAAGAAATAAAGCTGGTAGATTCATGGCAATTAATTGAATTGGGACACAGTGGTACAAGATGAACATGGGAAACAGTGTATGATTTCTGGATATATTAGAAGAAATCCGTTGATATTTAAGTGTTTATTTTTGTTTAACAGCTGTTCATTTCTTATACCTGCCAAGTGACCCAATTTCGTCGGGTTACACCCAGGATTTGAGCACTTCACTCGCTTTTATAACTTCACACGCCGAGTTGCGATTTTGACCCGGATTTCGCCAATTTCACTCGTTTTAGCCCGGAATCTTTTCGTATATTAGAAGTTACCAAAGTCACTCGGAATTCTCTAGACTTTTTCATCCTTTGTCATAAGGAAGACGATCTATTTCCTGTTTCCGTTTCTTACTGACAGGCAAGTTGTGAGTTGTTTATATACGTTCAAGAACTGTTTTTACAAATGTGTCTAAAAAGGCTGTTGTTACTGTCGGACAAGTAATTAGTGAGGCGTTTTAATGAATAATCAAGTTGTTTTTACAATTGTATTTACGAAGTATAGATCATATTTTGAAGGTAACATTATGTCTTCTTGAAGGAAGAAATTGTTATCAGGACTTGCAGGTTCTACTACACGAAATGCTAAAAGAAAAGATATTTGTGCACATATCAAATGTCGTAGGAAAATGAGTTATAGTGGATAAAGTCTGGCAGTCGTAGACCAAATGCTGCATTCTGCACACTGTAAATCGCATATTAAAGTTAACATTGGGTCTGGTGCTAAAAAATATGTTACTTAGACATTTAAAACAGGCACAGGCATTTGATGATTTGTTTCTGTCAATCAAAATTATCATGACAATAAGAATTCAACCCCTACTCGTATAAAACTGATATTTTATATGAGTAGGGTGCGACTTCTTATTGTCAGGACCATTTTTATTGACAGAAACAAAATGGTACTTTATATGAGTAGAATGTGACATCTTATTGCCAGCATCATTTTAATTGACATAAAAACCCTGAAAACACAGTATCATACATATTATTATGAATTAATTTTATAAGTTGTGTTGTCGACAAATCTTTTTATTTTTCACAGCTTTGAATTTGGTATTGTGGATGAGGATCAGCTAGATCTGCTGGAAGAACAGTTTAATGAATGTAGAATGTACCTTTTACATCATTAAAATATCAAAGTTTTAATATCTACTTTTCTTATATTTGTTGCAAAAAAAAGGACGTTGCACGCTATGACCCTCTTTTTTTATTTTCAAAAGAGGGTCATCACCCTCTTTCAGTATATCCAGGGTTGGCAGGTATGATTCCTTAATATGCATGGAAACATCTAGAGATTTTTCAATAAAGGGTATGGTTTCTATCTCAAATTGATGTTATCAATATATCAGTATTTCTATCAAGCTGTAGTTTAAATACTAATTCATAATACTCTCAACCAGATATTAACACAAGGGAAATAACGGCAACTCAAACCAACTCTAGTATACATGTATATATATCAGGAAATAAGGAAAATATACAAATTCATGATGAAATCAATATTAATGCCACCATTACAGAGAGATAGCCAAGTAGTATTGTTGGCATGTCCTAACAAGTATGATTTATGTAGCCCTTATTCTAAATAAATATTGGTCATAAGCATATATGACTTTAATAAAACGGTACAAAGAATTAGCATGCGTGGGCTGCAGGCACATTAATCTTCAGTATCGTGTATTCTACAACGCTATAATCCAACTAGAAATACAATCAATATAGCATGTGGTTGATAAAAATACATCAATTACTCAGTGATTTTTGTAGAAAAAATACAATTACCAAGAGATATTGTGGGCTCTAAAATGTAGTCGAAAGGACTAATATCTGTGTTCTAAAAAATTCTGAATACTCTACTGAATGTTTAAGCTGTATCTATATCAAAGTCCATTTAGAAAGCACTTTGAGTATTGTTAGGGTGGAATGGAAGTTACTACAGTCTATGATACACATGTACAGTTACCATAAGAACAGGCAACGAAACATGCACCAAGAAGCTATTTTAATTTGTGGTTAACAGGGATCATACTAAATAATGTATATTCAAGTGATAAAACAGTGCTGTAACTCCAAGGCTAAGTTTCATTGATTGAATATTCTATTGATCCGCCAATGAATTATTTTGTAGTCAATCTAACACGTCAGTGATTGGTGTGTTGTTGGTTACTCAAAACGAGTCCCAGTTCTATAAAGTAATGATCAAATAGGTATACTTCATGGAACAGGCAATAAAGATTGATGTCCTGGTCATTGGTCACATGTAAACAGGTCATCAACATAATTTCATTTGTATCATCATGCTAGTTAATTATATCTTACTTTTTTTTCTTTTAACATTTCTGTCGGTCGTAACATCCGTCCTCATTCGACCCTGGCTGTTGCGAGGATGTTTAACAACAGGCAAACAAACAAACAAACAGTTGTAATGTAGTTAATTTCAGACATTTTGGTATTATGTTTAAAGAAAACAAGCAAGTTCGTGGAATTTATATCTCCCGCTTGCAGGGCATATTGTAGGTAAACATTATTGAGGTTAGGTTTAAACATGTGATTATCGTGCTGTTGAGACATAATGTATAGCTTAGAACTTGAAGGAAAAAAAAGCCTTACATAGAAGTTTGACTTTTTATTGAACATGCAAGTATTACGGTGTAAATTAATCATTTAATCCATCAGAATTTACAAACCGGTTGGCAAACTTACCATAAGTCGGATGTGCATATGGAATTTGGTTGAAATATCTGCACACTATCTACAGTAATTATCACACAAAAACCAATGAGTGTCCAAGATGAGTGGAAAAACAGAGGAACACAAACATTGTTAACACAAACATTGTTATCAAGTTTGAAGGAACTTGGTTAATATTTGCTAGAGTGATTAAGCGGAAACTGCAGATAATGATGTTTTTCTTTAATAAAGGGACCATAACTCTGCCAAATGGAGTCCGATTAAAGTGGTTGTCAAACTTGGCCGAGCCCTTAATGCTTTGAACCCTATAACTAATTAAGTTTCAAGACAATCGGATAATATTTGCGAGAGTTAAAGAACAGGAACAGCAGATAATGATGTTTTTCGTTATTCAAGGGGCCATAACTCTGCTATCATAAAAACTGCTGAATGTGGTAATCAAACTTGGCCAATCCCTTAAGGCATTTAACCATGTTACCAAGTTTGAAGAAAATTGGTTATTATTTGTTGCAGTTATTGCACGGAAACGAAGCGTGACAGACAGACAAACCAAAATTAATAAATAATAACAGGCTCATCCATTTCATGAATGGAGAACAATTAGAAACATTAGCACTAGCATGTTTTATTTCTTAAGTTTTGCTTGAAGTTTGTTTAATATCTTTAAAATTAAGATGGTGTAAGTGATCTATGGATGCTGTCAATTGTTAAATATAATGAACTGAACACCATTTGTAAAAGAAATACCCTCAAATTTCATTTATGAAAGGAGGAGACATACAATGTAGTTATTGATATTCTTTTCCATGTTTTAAAACCCCCTCCTTCCATTTAAGAAATCATCAATATGGTATCAGAGCTCAAAAGAAATCAATTCTTATCAATATGGTCAAAATATGGCTAGTGTTAGAACCTACAGTTAGAATTAGGTCTACACATGTCCAACAAGAACAAATTTAGAATTAGGCCTACACATGTCCAACATGAACAAGTTAATTAAACTGTCATTTTCATCTGAGGATATCCATCACCTCATAGCCAACAAAATTTATTGTATTCGTGCAGAGGAATGTACCAGCTTTGACATTTATTTGGTAGTGAAACCAACAGGATCTGATGTTCATAATCAATGCTTTTGTTGCATCAAACTGTCTTTTAATATACTATATAGTGTAATTAAGACATGCACACACTATTGTACCTATTGTGCAGTTAATGAAGGCTATACTTGTTCTGAAACCAACCCAGCTGTGAATTATAATTTATATCAGACTATTGATCCCCTCCTCAAGTGTTGTAGAACTTTTAATCGTGTTGAGCTTAAAGATGGACATTTAATTCTGCTTTTATCTCTTGATTCAATACTTTCCTCCTGGAATAATAATGACAAGAAGAAATTGTGTATGTTAAATTTTCTCTGTGAACATTACCCACAGGTGCATTTTTTCAATTAAGGACTTAATATGTGTGACTCAGTGACTATATACTGGCTCCATGATGGGTCAAAATATGTAATGTGTACTATGGGCCTCATGCACACAATTTTCATCAGAAAAGTATACCATAGTAGCATACCCTTCAATCTGAGTTCAATAAACATGATAATGATAAGGTATCTAGGTCTATATAAAGTTGGGCTCTAAAATTGCAACACATTACCATACTTGTGTTTTTGGAAGTGTTGCGTATCGTGTCTGGGATATTTTCTTAAAATTAATTATGAACTCATTATTATTATAGATGAAACATGAGCAACACTTCACAATCACAACCATGAACACAAGACCTTCCGCCAAACCATCATAGATTGATTCCAATATTTAGTAATGTTAAAGTCGACATTCCGATGAATAACTTTATAGAAAGTCGAGCCAATAGAAACCTCAGTTCTGTTGAAATGAGGTCCCGTATCACGTGAATGCTTACATCACGGTTGGTCTACATCTGATTATAAGAACTCAACAACAATTTATATCAATAATAAGAGACAATATTAAGCCACGATCATCGCCACTATGTTTCTCCTCAGTTCTTATATAATACAAAATCATAAAACGTATTACATACAGTGATGAATTGGCAAAAAATTAACCGTGAGTTGGATAAAAGCTCAATATTCGCGCGAAACACGTGTGATGAACAAAATGAGTATTTAAAAAGACAATGTAACATCCACAGAGAAAATTATCAGGGGATCAAATGATTAATAAAGGATACTTGTTGAACATTCCTCTGTGTGGCAGTATCAGGAGATTGTGACTCTTTCAACAGCTGAAGGATTTGTCGGAGACCATTCTCCTCCGGCTGCCACGCCATCTTGCCCATTTGATCTTTTACGTTACTGGTTCGGGAATGCCCGCCGAGTTCCGGTAAGAATGATTTTCCGGAAGTTCCCGGAACGAACCGACTCCATGACGCTACAAAATGGTGGACAACGCACAACAAGACTTTATTACAGGTGAAAATAGGTTAAATATTGATATGTTTGAATATTTTTATGATATTTAGGGCAAATATTAACGTTTTTAACACATAAGTATATATGATACAGAATGTCACAACTCAATTTTGAAAGACAAACGTTATTTATTTAATTTTTTTGATAGTTCCTGGTTGTTTCTGTACTCACCTGCTCACAGGAGCCTGAAGTTCTGTCAATAATGAATAATAACAGTAATATATATATAAAAACACCTATAATTTGTGCTTAAAAAATATTTTTTGAGCATAGTATAGGTATTTTTTGTGTAGGCCTATTACTGTTATGATTCATTATTGGCAGAACTTCAAGGCTCCTGTGCTGTACTGCAGTACTGGTACTCAGAACTTAAACAAGTAAAAACGAGAAACGTATTTCACATTGTTTTTGAACAATGTTTAGTCTTTAATTTTACCACACTATACAGCTTGTAATTCATTCCTGTTTACTCTGCAATGGAAATTTATATGGGCACAACCTCATAAATTGGTAAAAATATAAAGTGACATTTTTTATACAAAAAATAAAATAAAAAATGAAAGGGTTCTTAAACATTAAGAGCAAAAAATGTGCATGTGGTATTTTAGACATTGCGTTACTATGAATGACAAAACTAGTTGTCCATATTAAATGTTAAGGCATTGAGAATGACAGCGGGTGTCGGTCAGGGCAGTTAAGAAATACCTAGAAATACCTACATACCTTCTTCTTCTTTAGGGGGCAGGGGCTCCATCAATGTGAACGATTATGTCTTCGGTGGTCCTATCACAGAGGCGTGAAAAAAGGGGTTATTTACAGTGATTTTTTGTGTGTGAAGGGTATAGATAAAAGGTAAAAGCTGACGTATTGCTTTAGCGTGTGATGAGGGCTTCAAGGGCTTTCTGCATAGGGTATGTGTGCCTTGGAGTCCTCTAGTGTTGTGCATTGTACTGCTGCTATGGGAAGGAGATTCCATTGTGTTATTGTGTGTGGAAAGAATGAATATTTGTAGGTGTCCTTTATAGCAGATATATGTGTTTGCAAAGCATAAGGGTGTGCATGTCTGGTTCCAGCGTCTACAGGTGTGAGTATATATGTTGGGTTTATAGAGCTCTACGATTTGGTGTACAGTTTTGTAAAAAAGGATCATTCTTGTGTGAAAATGCCATGTTTGTAGTGTTGGCCATTGTAGTTTGTGGATCATGTCTGTAACTGAGCTGGTGTTGTGGTATATGTTGTTTACGTAGCGTGCTGCTCTTTGCTGTGTTTTAAGGTCACCTGAGCTTTGCTCAAGTGACCTATTCCGATCACTTTCCGTTCGTCGCTGTCCAGCGTGCGTAAACTTTTTACATTTTCAACTTCTTCTCAAGAATAAGTGGATGGAATTTTTCAAACTTCGTAAGAATCATCCTTGGTAGATGAGGCTACAAAATTGTAAAATTGGGATTCCTACCCCAACCCTAGGGATCAGGACGGGGCCCCAAAGGGAAAATTAACCAATATTTCAAAAATCTTCAGTGCATGGATAGAAAGATCATCAGGAGCTTTATTGAAATTGTCAATTTCAGGACCCCTTATATAGGGAAATAACACTTTTAGGTATATTTTTTCCATTTTCAGCAGAAATTTATTCAAACTTGGTCAGAATCATCTTTGGTGGATGATGGTATTACATTGTAAAATTTGAATTCCTGCCCCATCCCCATGGGCTAGGGCGGGGCCCCAAAGGTAACATTTACCAATATTTTAAAATTCTTATCCTTTGAGTATTGTATTTCACTTAGTTTACCTGCTGATTTCCACATCACATCTAAACAATAAAATAAAGCTACCAGTACCTATGATATAACTCAGGTGACCACTAAGGCCCTTGGGCCTCTTGTTTCTATTTGGCTTGTGTCGTGTGGATCCCAAATGGAAGAGCAGTATTTAAGTTTTGGTCTGACTAGTGCTTTGTATGCATTTTCTTTTATAAGTGGTGAGTTTATTTTTAAGTTGCGTTTTAGAAAACCTTGGGACCTATTTGCCTTGGCTGAAATGTTGTTAATATGTTTGTCCCATCGTAGGTTATTTTGTAATGTTAAGCCTAGGTATTTGCTGGATTCTACTTGGTATAATGTGTGGTTGTGGAGTTTGTAGTCATGGTGTATTTTGTTGCGTTTCGGTGTAATGTTGAGTATGTTGCATTTGTCAGGGTGAAGTTTCATTAGCCAGTCTGTCTCCCATTGTCCTACTGCGTCAAGGTCATGTTGTAGTTTTAGTATGTCTTCTTTGTTTTTTATCGTCTTGTATATGATGCTGTCATCTGCAAAGAGTCTCAGTGAACTTTATTGTATGTATTCATGCAAGTCATTGATTTAGATGAGGAAGAGGATGGGGCCCAAACAGGTTCCTTGAGGGACCCCAGAGGTTACTTGTATTTTATCTGATTTTTTGCCCTCAAGTACTACTGTTTGGGTGCAGAATGAGAGAAAGTCTGTGATCGATGCGTGTGTGTTCCTTGTTATCCCGTAATATTTGAGTTTGTACTGTAGTCGTTTGTGTGGGACTTTGTCAAAGTCCATTATGATGATGTCTGTCTGTTTGTTAATGTTGTTGTTTGATACAAGATGTGTAACATTGTGTATAAATGTGGTAAGCTGTGTTTCACAGGATCTGAGGATCTAAAGCCGTGTTGTAGGTCATATAATATGTTGTTGTTCTCCAGATGTGTCATTGTTGCGCTTATGATATGTTCCATGAGTTTACATGTCATGCAGGTTAGTGATATTGGTCTGTAATTTGCTGGGTTGTACTTGTGTCCTTTTTTGTATACTGGGTTGACGTTTGCGTGTTTCGAATCTGATGGTAGTGAGTGGGCGGGTGAAGATTTTTGTGAGAATGGGTGCTGTGATGTCACTTAATTTCTAAGTATTCTGCCGTGTATATTGTCAGGTCCTGTTGCTTTATGTGGGTTGATTTTGTTGAGTAGTTTATTGATGCCTTGTATTGTAATGTGTATTTCTGGCATGAGAGGGTGTGGAGAAGGTCCTTTGGGTGGTATGGGGCAGTCCTGTTCTGTGGTGAAGGCAGATTTAAATTCTTCGTTTAGTATGTTTGTTTGCCTTGCATGTGGTGTCATTTTTTCGCGGTGTTGGTGGTTTCAAGACCTACCTTACAAAACATTTTTTTTGTGATTTCGGTGGTTTTGATTCCTTGGTTGATAAAATTCAGTGTTTTTTTCGGAAAGATTAAAGGCCAAGGAAACAATTGTTGAAAGTGTAGCGTGGTCGGGTCTATCTCTATCAAGACCTATAATTTGTAGCAAGATAGCCAACCCTTCACCCTTGGTCAATAGGGACTCTTCTTAGCCCCTGGTCAATGGGATCTCTTCTTAGCCCCTGGTCAAGGTGGTCTCTTTATGGCCCCTGGTCAATGTGGTCTCTTCATGGCCCCTGGTCAATGGGGTCTCTTCTTGGCCCCTGGTCAATGTGGTCTCTTCTTGGCCCCTGGTCAATGGGGTCTCTTCTTGGTCCCTGGTCAATGTGGTCTCTTCATGGCCCCTGGTCAATGGGGTCTCTTCTTGGCCCCCGGTCAATGGGGTCTCTTCTTGGCCCCTGGTCAATGGGGTCTCTTCTTGGCCCCTGGTCAATGGGGTCTCTTCATGGCCCCTGGTCAATGTGGTCTCTTCATGGCCCCTGGTCAATGGGGTCTCTTCTTGGTCCCTGGTCAATGGGGTCTCTTCATGGCCCCTGGTCAGTGTGGTCTCTTCAGCCTCTTGTAAGCAAGGCTACTCTAAACTGGATACTACTTTGAACCCACTCAGTGACAGTGAACAAACGCCAAATGAACAGTTCTATAATGTTTATTTATATACATAGGAGTACTGGAGCCATATAAGTATGACAGTTGCAAGATTAATACAAGTCAATATCAATGCATCTCACTCTTGTTCTGTACATATGCACTAAAACTTCCAATATAGCTCAGTTTCACTATTATACTGGCTTACAAAGTAAATCTGACATATAGATACTCAACAATAAGCCTTATTTCTTTCAATTCTAGCAGTAGGAATTATATCTGACTGAAGTTCGTTACGGCTTCTAATGTAAACAATGACCTCCATTTATACCAAAACGCCATGCTGTCGGTAGTACTAATGTTTGATTTAACAAAACAAGCCAACGATGCACGGGAACACAATAACCATTATTAAAGATAATCCTGAGTATAAACAACGTAAACATAGTGACGTTACAAAAGTTACCACATTTAAAAAAATAAATTGTTGAAGGACATCTAAATAGATGATTTCTGTCCATTTGTTGATATTCCATGCTGCAACACTCTTCCTCAATGACAATTCCAAGTTGGTATGAATGTCGCAAGTCTGCATGTGATGAATTTGACAATGACTAGCAATTTGAAAAGGAAATTGTGTCTTTTAGATATGATATTGTGCCTGGTTTCAGATCAAAGAATTGTTTGTTTTGTTTTTTTGAAAAGTACCATTTTTTTCAATACAAAATTTTCAAGAAGCTCATTTTCATGTTTTTAAATTGAACAAACCTGAACATCCTAAATGTTATTCTGGAGTGAATTATACTGTATAGCCAGAGTCCCTCTGGGAAAATTGACACCATTTATTGGGGATCACTAAACTATATGTGTTCCAAAATAGGGCCTACTAGTTTGAATAAACTCACAGGTATATGCTAAATGAAACAATTAAGTAATACTTAGCGAAAAAATATTACTATAGACCACTAGGAATGCAATATAAACTTTCTGGAAAAACAACAACACTGGCTCTAATTTTAAAAAGAGATGCGACAAGGAAAAAAGGCTTGTATGTACAGTTAATGAAGTTCTTATAGACCTTGTATTCAGGTATGTTAACATTTTTAGAATAAACACTCTTTATTCACATGCTCTTTTTTTAAATGTATCAACTTTCTGTAATTATTTACTCATGCAAAATCTCCTTTATGATAAAACCAAAACCTACATAATTTTGATCTTTGAAAAAATAAAACAGTAAGACCTATACTTTTATGCTATCATCAAGTATTCACTCAGAAGATGTTCTCCTGTTACATCCTTAATGGAGACCATGTTAGGACTATAAGCTCTATTTGGAAACTTTGAGGAGCATAGAGGAGTTTCATCTCTTTCAGGAATAAGACTGTTTTTTTCTTCACTTAAAATTAAGAAGTTGTATTTCCTGTGGACAAGTTGACTGCCTGGTAGACATCGGAGTACACTTGTAGGTGACTGACTAATTATTAAATCGAGTGATTAATTAAATGTCTGTATATCTTGCCGTGTAAACGTAGAGGTCGTAAATCCTGGGACAAATCATATGCAAATTGTCTATTCTTCATCATCATACTAGCTGGCAATTCGAAAACTAATTCATAAATATTTGAAGTCTTTTTCCGTTATAAATATTTATTTAGCCACCAAATTCAGTCACACTTCACCCAATATCACTGATTCTTGCAAAACTGGTCAATCCAATGTATGCTGGTGAGCCCATCAACATTACATTTATTCCAATCAAGCAACATGCTGGTCTTGCTAGTGCAAATTAAACAGGTGCAATAAATAATGATAACCACAAATGTATATGTATCATAAATATGGCTGTGTCATGACTTCAAACTGTATCATGATATCTAAGATGCATAGTTCCATTAAATGATTAAGTGCTTCTTAAGAATTACATTTGAGTTAGCAATGAACATGTACAAGCTGTGAGGGTCAAACTCATTTTCTATTGAATCTGCTACCTTAGAAACGTATGTTTATGTGTTTATTATGCAGTTTTACTTTTGTACAGTGCCATATTTCACACTTTAAATCACAAATTATTACATAACAATATGCCAACTCATTGAGCAGGTGATTTCCTGAACTAGTATTGCTTTATTTTACAGGTTAAATACACAGAACAGTTATGGAAGTTTATAGGAAGAAAGAAGTAGTTCCTCTCCTCCAGCGTGAATTTACATTTCACCCAATGGAGTTGCGAAAGGAACCAAAGACATTTCAAGATGAACAAGAAACCAATGAGGTGGAGGAAAAATTTGAAGAAGAAATCCTTGAGATGGAAAACAGGAAGTGGAGGGGCGTGTCTTTGGTTTGGCAGGATGCCATTTTACTGACACTTGACTTCCTGCAGATATTTGCCCTGATACAGTCCATGGCCCTTCGCTGGACTTACTCATCTGACTGGCTGGCAAAGGCATACTTTTTCTTCTTGTTCAATCTAGATGTTTGGGAGTTTACCAAGTTACATAAGAATATCTGGATTGATTTGAAAAGCTACTACACTCCAAGTACATCTGTTCCTCTGTCATACTGGTATATTGCTGTTGGCTGGTTTTCAGTCGTAGCAGGCTTAGCACTGCTGTTTGTAGCCTTCTATGCTTTCTTGAAAGTCCATCAGCCCAGACGACTCGGAAACAAGTTAGCATGGGTACGGCGTATATTCTTCTTCCTGGTACAAGTGCTTACACTGCCTCTGGGGACGACCATAGCCCACCTGTGTCAGTGTACAGACGCTAACAGAGTGGACGTGATGAATGAGATCGTCTGTTTTACAGGCATGCACTGGCTGTATGTGACATTCGGTATCATTATTGCTGTTTTTCTCTTTGTTGTGTTTCCTGTCTACATCGTCTTCAAGGTGCGGAGAGAATCTGTCGGCTCATGCAGCAAACACCATGAGTCATTTCTGCTTTTGAAGGAGTCGGAGTACAAAATAGGTTTGAGTAAAGCCTGGTTGTACAGCGACATGTACCTGTACTCATCATTTCGTTTCTGGGGTATTTACCACCGAGTGATCATACAGATCGTGAAGATGATTCTGTTGATCATTTATGTGGCAACGTTTAAGAACATTGTTACCCAAGCCTGGACTCTGGCAGCATTCCTCGCTATATTCTTTGTCCTTTTCCTCTTCATCCGACCCTACAGACTGACCAGTTTCAACGTAATGCTAGTGATGAGCTACCTTGTCCTGTTTGGCCTGACCCTTATCGGTGCCATGAAGACAGAGTTTAATGCCTACACACTGGACAATCCCTGGATGACGCCTAGTTACAGTATGTGGTTGGTAGCTCTGTGTATGGGGTGCTGGGCTTTGATTTGGATCATATTTTCCATATATTTGATATTCTACAAGATCCGACATTGCTGTAACAAGACCAAGCTGCCTCTGTGGCCTACCTTCACCAGCTCAGATGAGGATTACATCAGTCCAGAGGCCAGGAAGTTCCTGAAGACTTTCCTTAGGGCCCGCATTGTTTTGGGTAAGTATAGAAACATACAGTATGTGTGTAACAACTGTGATCACTCTTTGGATTTTCTTTAAATTTTACTGGATTAATGGTCTTTTGTTTAAATTTCCCAATGAAGAACTTGTATGCAATGTCAGTGGATCATGAAAATGTTTTGAATTCAATAACATTGTTGATAATTGAATCATCCATTGAAACAAAACTATGCAAAAATTTCATCATTAAGACATGAGATTATGTTTATTCTTTAAGTTTAATAGTTTTCACTTTGGTTTAACAAGCATTTTATTGGTTTTTTTTGTATTACAGACAAGACAAAGGAATCACCCCAAATATTTGCCCAAGTTCACGATCTGGCCCAGCAGATCAAGGTCCTGAATGTGTACTGTCGAGAGGCGGAGTACCTTGGCGATGCCCTCCACGGCATTATGTGGGATTTACTGGATGAGATGATTGATGTGCACTCTGACCTTTCACAGAAATCTTTGTTTGCTGGTTAGTTCCTGAAAAGTAGTTACTGTGCATACTGTATTTTTAATGTAAAACACAACGTTGTACTACACACGTTGTTTTTGGTACATGTAGTAAAGCCGTTCTTATTGGACTTTTGAGGTCAAGGTTGAAACAATATTCTTTAACACAGGTAGCCTCCATAGGTCATCTCTAAAGAGGATAAGTTATGAAATGTTGATTAAGGTCACATTAGGGGTGTACAGTTACATATTAACAGTACTATCTATAGTCCACAGGCCGATTTTAGTAGAATTGTCACTCCTGGACAAAAGGCAGGGCTTCAATTCATTCAGACTCGTAACTTAAGTATTAGTGTTCAATGACTTCTGTTACATGACTATATATATTGGTTGTCATGTCAGAGAAATCTTCCATGAGTGGTTGGAACACAAGATTTTATTGTCATGAATGTTTACAATGCTTCAAAAACAAACCACAGTTTTGTTTGAGTTACCCATTACTGTATTTAACAAAGAAATAATTCTGCTAAAGTGAAAGCCTCAAAAAACCTGTTAATAACATTTTACCCTTGAAACATAAGAATGATTCAACTTGATAAAAACTTATCTTCACTGCAGTGACGATATGTTTAATACATATAGATGTTATAACTTCACATGTGAAGACATCACATTTAGTACTGACCAATCAGAACAATACTTTCCTTTCACTGAATTTTAAGTCGCAGATTACATTCTTGTAACAAAATCTTGCCAGATAATAGCAGAAACTCATAGGTTTTCATCGAGTAGCCCATATTACAAAGTAAAAAGTGCACAGCTTTCGTGTTAAGCATGACGATATTAGTGTTTTGCAGAAAAAATATGCTACCTATTTCTACTATTTTTTTTATACATGATCATCCTTGTACTTTATCTTTGCTATAAATATGTAATTAATAGAAAATTTAATGTTTGTCAGGTTTAATGCCTTTAATTTCCCATCTGATGGCATGCAGAATATTGTGAATATTTTCACTCATACTTCCCACGTATGAAACCAGTGGTATCTAGTGTTGTATGCTTTTTTGTTGTCATGTCATATCACGCTCTACTATTGCTATTACAGAAACGGTGAAGGAGTCGATACGTTACACGTCCCAAGAGTTCCTCAAATTGATGCCGTCGTTCACACAGAGGCTGGCCCAGCGGGACTATGACCTCATCCTCGTCAACCCCATCAAGAAACGCATGCTGCTCAAGATGTACTGCATGGGTAAGTCACCAATCTGCAGGAATAAACCTGTTAACAATTTTAATTATGTCCTTAAAAAGTTACTAATGATGGGATAATTTTAAGATTTATTTCCAATTCCTTTACTATTTGTACGGGATAGAAGTTAATGGATGATCATGTGGCACAGTAGATAGCAAAATCGCCGTTTATCAAGATGGCTGGGGTTTAACTCCCACTTTGGATGTGAGAAGGTCTTGTCCTTGCAACAGTTAAGGTGAGACATGTATGATTGGTAATATGATAATCAAAAGGCTACAATCGTTTTTAGTTTATTTACTCATAGAAGGAGGTAAAGGAAGTCTAGTGGTAGAACGCCGGGCTCGTGACCGAAGGGTTGCGGGTTCGAGTCATGGCATGGCACTGTGTTGTATCTTTGAGAAAGATACTTTAATCAGCTTGTTCCAGTCTACTCAGCTGTAAATGAGTACGTCGTTGGACAGTGCTAGAATTGTAGAATGCTAGCTGTGAGTGCCGAAATGGCAGCACCGGCTGTATGCTCCCCAGGGAGTTGAGAAAGTTATTGGCTGGTTGCAAAGGCCCTATAACCACGGCTACGAACTAGGTTGTGATAAAGCGGTTTATAAGAACCTTGAACTATTATTATTATAGAACGGAAGGCTTATGTATACTCACCTCAGCATTGTTTACAGTTTGGTGCAAGTGTTGAATTTCATTAATAAAACCTTTGAATAGTAGCATGCTTTGAAGCTTAATCTGCTGTTGATCATGATTTATTGCTGTGACTATCTTGTGACCCTGTGACTGTTGATCTATTTCTGTGACTATCTTGGGACCCTGTGACTGTTGATCTATTCCTGTGACTATCTTCTGACCCTGTGACTGTTGATCTATTGCTGTGACTATCTTGTGACCCTGTGACTGTTGATCTATTTCTGTGACTATCTTGTGACCCTGTGACTGTTGATCTATTTCTGTGACTATCTTGTGACCCTGTGACTGTTGATCTATTGCTGTGACTATCTTGTGACCCTGTGACTGTTGATCTATTGCTGTGACTATCTTGTGACCCTGTGACTGTTGATCTATTGCTGTGACTATCTTGTGACCCTGTGACTGTTGATCTATTGCTGTGACTATCTTGTGACCCTGTGACTGTTGATCTATTGCTGTGACTATCTTGTGACCCTGTGACTGTTGATCTATTGCTGTGACTATCTTGTGACCCTGTGACTGTTGATCTATTGCTGTGACTATCTTGTGACCCTGTGACTGTTGATCTATTGCTGTGACTATCTTGTGACCCTGTGACTGTTGATCTATTGCTGTGACTATCTTGTGACCCTGTGACTGTTGATCTATTGCTGTGACTATCTTGTGACCCTGTGACTGTTGATCTATTGCTGTGACTATCTTGTGACCCTGTGACTGTTGATCTATTGCTGTGACTATCTTGTGACCCTGTGACTGTTGATCTATTGCTGTGACTATCTTGTGACCCTGTGACTGTTGATCTATTGCTGTGACTATCTTGTGACCCTGTGACTGTTGATCTATTGCTGTGACTATCTTGTGACCCTGTGACTGTTGATCTATTGCTGTGACTATCTTGTGACCCTGTGACTGTTGATCTATTGCTGTGACTATCTTGTGACCCTGTGACTGTTGATCTATTGCTGTGACTATCTTGTGACCCTGTGACTGTTGATCTATTGCTGTGACTATCTTGTGACCCTGTGACTGTTGATCTATTGCTGTGACTATCTTGTGACCCTGTGACTGTTGATCTATTGCTGTGACTATCTTGTGACCCTGTGACTGTTGATCTATTGCTGTGACTATCTTGTGACCCTGTGACTGTTGATCTATTGCTGTGACTATCTTGTGACCCTGTGACTGTTGATCTATTGCTGTGACTATCTTGTGACCCTGTGACTGTTGATCTATTGCTGTGACTATCTTGTGACCCTGTGACTGTTGATCTATTGCTGTGACTATCTTGTGACCCTGTGACTGTTGATCTATTGCTGTGACTATCTTGTGACCCTGTGACTGTTGATCTATTGCTGTGACTATCTTGTGACCCTGTGACTGTTGATCTATTGCTGTGACTATCTTGTGACCCTGTGACTGTTGATCTATTGCTGTGACTATCTTGTGACCCTGTGACTGTTGATCTATTGCTGTGACTATCTTGTGACCCTGTGACTGTTGATCTATTGCTGTGACTATCTTGTGACCCTGTGACTGTTGATCTATTGCTGTGACTATCTTGTGACCCTGTGACTGTTGATCTATTGCTGTGACTATCTTGTGACCCTGTGACTGTTGATCTATTGCTGTGACTATCTTGTGACCCTGTGACTGTTGATCTATTGCTGTGACTATCTTGTGACCCTGTGACTGTTGATCTATTGCTGTGACTATCTTGTGACCCTGTGACTGTTGATCTATTGCTGTGACTATCTTGTGACCCTGTGACTGTTGATCTATTGCTGTGACTATCTTGTGACCCTGTGACTGTTGATCTATTGCTGTGACTATCTTGTGACCCTGTGACTGTTGATCTATTGCTGTGACTATCTTGTGACCCTGTGACTGTTGATCTATTGCTGTGACTATCTTGTGACCCTGTGACTGTTGATCTATTGCTGTGACTATCTTGTGACCCTGTGACTGTTGATCTATTGCTGTGACTATCTTGTGACCCTGTGACTGTTGATCTATTGCTGTGACTATCTTGTGACCCTGTGACTGTTGATCTATTGCTGTGACTATCTTGTGACCCTGTGACTGTTGATCTATTGCTGTGACTATCTTGTGACCCTGTGACTGTTGATCTATTGCTGTGACTATCTTGTGACCCTGTGACTGTTGATCTATTGCTGTGACTATCTTGTGACCCTGTGACTGTTGATCTATTGCTGTGACTATCTTGTGACCCAGTGCCCTTTGTTATTATAAGCTTTATATGCGTTTGTATTGACGATGGATCACCGATGTCGATTTTTGCAGGAATCTTCCTGAATGGCCGTAAGGAGAAGTTGGCTAAGGCTCAAATGTTGACCAAGCCTGCACTTGACACAATCTGGCAGGAAACTGACCACAGAAGTGATGTAGAAGGTTAGTAGATATGGAATTACATTTATGTTATGTGACTTATGTTTGAAATATAGTTGTCATGTGACTTAATGTAAGGAGAAGATGTCATTTGACTTTTGTATAAAATGTATGAATATAGATGTCATGTTACTTGTGTATGAATGCAATAAGAAGTAAGGATAGGTATAAGCATTACTGGGTTGTCACAAAATAATGTTCTTGATTTTATAGACAGAACTTTTCCACTGTTATGTGTTTCTTCAGTGAGGTGTACATTTTGTAAAATTTTGAATTTAGCAAGCATTATTTAAACCTCTCATGTATAAGATTACATGTAGTGAAATTACTAACCATATTACATTATAGAGGGTTATTACGAGGACCTGTATCCCGACCCCTTGGAGATCCAGTCAGATTCCTCAGTTGACCTGTCCCTGGAAAGTGCAGACAATGATGATGTATGTTTTTTTCTCAATTATCCCCATTTGAGTTATAATGTATCCCTGTATATTGCAGGAATATCATATCTTTTTATATTATAAATATTGTATCTGTATATTTCAGAAATATTTTATCTGTATATACGGTAAACCTCCATTTACAGACTGAATTTTAAAAACTTCTTTTTTTAAATAATAAAAACATTAATTTTCTGTCTAGTGATAATTCAAACCCTGCTTACCCTTGTTTCAGATTTTTCAAATTTATACAAAATTTGATTACTGAAACTACATACCTATCTCTGTTTCACGATTAATGCGAATTGAACTTTTGACGCATTTGCAAATATATTGGCCGTCGTTGTCCCGTATCAACAAGTTGACTGTTTGTTTTAATTTTGTTTAATTTGAACAGGAAGACAATTTTTTATTTTTTTTGATCTGACTGGAGGTTTACTGTACAGGAATATAATGAGGTATTAGATATCCAAATAAATTGAGTAAGATAAATTGTAAATATGACTAAAACATAATCAGTGAATTCATCATGTTTATTTTAACAAAAATGTAACAAATATGCATATAAGTATATTATATGAAAATATCCATATCTAAGTTAAGTAACATGAGGACAATATGGTCATCTGCAAGACAAGACCATAGAAATATGGGCTCAGTATGCAATGTATCACGAATCTGAGACCAAGAATCAGTCGATTAGAATCAAGGAAAACCAGACTGTATGTAATAAAATATGTATATCACAGGAATATTATATCTATATATTACAGGATATCAGCTTCAACCGAGTTTATGACCAGCTTCCTCAGGTGGAGACTCTACGGACAGACTTTTTCAGGTAGATCAAATCTCAAATAAGATTAATATATTCCAGAGGAGTTTACTTCTTGAATTTAAACCCATTAAGTCTGTTTAGGCAGGAACTGGTACAACTTCTTGTCAATGGTAGTAATAAACAGTAAGAATAATAGAAGTAATAAACAGTAAGAATAATAGTAGTAATAAACAGTAAGAATAATAAAAATATACTTATTTGCTATATAATTTCCATTTAAATAATTGATAAAAAATTATTTTGAAAGTATTTTATAACACATTTCTGTAAATCCTAAATCACCTGCATATTAACATCAATTTTCAACAGACCTGTCAACTCCCCACGCCCAGGATCTGCATCCTCTGCATCTCTTCACCCCGGATCAGCTTCATCCATGATCCGCCCTGGGTCTGGTGGGTCCCATTCTAGGTCAGCAGCCTCACTCCAGCGCCCATCGTCTGGCACCTCTGCTGGAAGTCAAGGCCACAGCAATCCTGGATTTATTCCCGAGGAGGAGACCCTTCCTGGATACATAGAGGCAACAGATGATCGTCCGGCCAGTCGAGAAAGTGTCAGCGTCATTGACACTAAGCAAGCTGGTTAGTTAAATTTTTTATGTGTGGTATTTATGTTTCTTTTGTTCATGAGGATACTAGAATTGTGGATGGAGCATTTTATCTTCTTTTGGATATTTCTTAAGACGGTTATTGTTCAAGATTGGAGGGAACATGATAATGTTGCTCATCTGTCTGTCTGTTTCAACTGGAGTTCCTGTTTGCCAAATCCAATCAAAAGGTCAAGGTTATAGATGCTATAAATTGAAAAAGGTTATGTTTACCACACTAAATAAATGCAAGTTTCCATTGGACTATAACTTTCAAATTTATCTACACTGCATCAGTGAGGAAAAACACCTGAAGTATTGGGGAAGTAATAGGCCTGCTGTGTCCCACTGCATGTCATTGTAAGGGGAAGTAATAGGCCTGCTGTGTCCCACTGTATGGCATTGTAAGGGGAAGTAATCGGCCTGCTGTGTCCCACTGCATGTCATTGAAAGGGGAAGTAATAGGCCTGCTGTGTCCCACTGCATGGCATTGTAAGGAAAAGTAATAGGCCTGCTGTGTCCCACTGCATGGCATTGTAAGGGGAATTAACAGGCCTGCTGTGTCCAACTGTTTGGCATTGTTAGGGGAAGTAATAGGTCTGCTGTGTCCCACTCTATGGCATTGTAAGCCGAAGTAATCGGCCTGCTGTGTCCCTCTGCATGTCATTGAAAGGGGAAGTAATATGCCTGCTGTGTCCCAAAGCATGGCATTGTAAGAGGAAGTAATTGGCCTGCTGTGTCCCTCTGCATGTCATTGAACGGGGAAGTAATAGGCCTTCTGTGTCCCACTGCACGTCATTGAAAGGGGAAGGAATAGGCCTGCTGTGTCCCTCTGCATGTCATTGAAAGGGGAAGAAATAGGCCTGCTGTGTCCAACTGCATGGCATTGTAAGCGGAAGTAATAGGCCTTCTGTGTCCCACTGCATGTCATTGAAAGGGAAAGTAATAGGCCTGCTCTGTCCCACTGCATGTAATTGTAAGGGGAATTAATAGGCCTGATGCGTCCCACTGCATGGAATTGTAAGGGGAAGTAATAGAACTGCTGTGTCCCACTCTATGGCATTGTAAGCCGAAGTAATCGGCCTGCTGTGTCCCTCTGCATGTCATTGAACGGGGAAGTAATAGGCCTGCTGTGTCCCACTGCATGTCATTGTAAGAAGTAACAAATGTATAGCCCCCAGTAGAATTATATTCTGTGTTTCTGCTTAGGGTACATTGCAGAACCATCATTGATCTGCTGAACCACTACAAACTACATTAAGTGATCTATATTTTTCCTTTTCTCACTTTCCTACTCTTTCTTTATTTTGTTAGCGTCTCCCTAGGTATCCATCTCTATATGACCTGAGCTGTTACGAGAATGTTAAACCCAAAACAAACAAACCTTAATGAAAGAGCTTACTTGAAATTGCTTTTCAGGTCTGAAGGTGAAATGTCAAGGTCGTACGCTTTTACCCTGAATGGAAATTTGATTTCCATTGAGTTCCTGCTAGTCGATAACACTCATGCAGATAGAAAATGTGTTTCTACACAATAGCTGAACTAGACCAGTAACACTCAAATTTCTTATAAAATGCTTTCCTACAGAAAAAGTTTGCTTGAGATTGCTTTGAAGGTTTGCAAGTCAAGGGTCAAAGTTATTGTTACTATAGATAAAGTGTGACATTCTTACGTTCAGAAATCAAACCATGTTATCTCCAAATTTCAACACTGGGCAGATAATTAGGTGGTCCAAAAACAAAAAAGTATAGATCTGTATGTCCATACTGGCAGTGACCTTGCAGTATGTAAATGGGCCCTATTGTATCACATTCGCCACTCAAAGTTTTGATAATTACCAGTATTGTTTAAATACAACGGAGGTTTAGGCAATGACTGAACCAATTGGTGCCACAGAGCAATGGTGATCATGATCAAGAGGTCATATTAAGGCATCATAATGCGGGGATGAACACATACAAGATAATTGTTTATGTTTTACGTCTCTGTGATTAAAAGATGGAACCCAGGGTTCGTAGCTGTGCACCCAGCACTAAAATGTTTTTGGGGAAGTCCCTATCCAGGCAGTATTCTAATACAGTTTGGTTTTAATGATTGCACTAGCCTTGTCACTCTCCTATCTTATTGAGATCTAGTACATTGTTTTGTTTCCCCAGACTCCGGACCAGAAGGGAACAATGTACCAGATTTGCTACAAGCTGCTGATGCTGTGATTGACATGGAGGCATCCTCCCCTTCACATGCTTCTCCGAAGAAGAAAAAACTGAAGAAGAGGAGTTTAAGGAACAAAACATCTGGCAGACGAGAGTCTAATGCCTAAGACCTTTAAGAAGTTTTGTCGGAATAAATTTTTCTGCTGTTTATGAAAGAAATATTTTAGAAGCCGGAAACACAATAATTTAAGCTATTATTTGTTTAAGAACAAAGGGAAAGTATGATATATATCGTCTGTTTGGAAGTCAAAATATGTCATAAAGTTATTGATGTATTAAGCAATATCAGTTAATTTTTGAGAACTTTGAAAATTTGAAACCAATCATTTTACTATTTGCAGCAAACAAAATACATTATTATTAGATACAGTTTTCAATTGGTATTAGGAAAAAGACATTTTGACAGGAAACATATGTCACATTCGTTGATATTTGCTTATGAAATGAGGAAACTTACTCATGTATAATCGGGTGTGAATTTAAGGTCACAATTATAGGATTTTATATAATCATGGACACCATATTAATGCATATTGACATCTTTTACTAAAACTGTATCAAAGCTGTGATATTTAACATAAAAATGATGACTTGTTGATCAATTTGTCAATAAAGTGTTGAAATAATGATATTTTTATGTGATAATTTTAATTTTTACAGAGTTGTATATAATTATTCTAGGTGTGTTAGTTTATAGATATTTTTTATTAAACAACATTTTACTTGTCCGTCCGACTTAATATAGAGGTTGTGTTAATAAATTTAGTTTGATCAATTATCTGTATCCTGCTTCACTAGATTACATAGCAAAGCAGACGACCTGTCAAAATCAGTGGCCAGACAAAGCCAATGGCCAGTACAAGTTATTAACGCTCACAAATAATGCCATGCACAAGTTTATGATCTGTCAATGTTCTGAGATTTATCAGTCAAAGACATTCAAATACTGGAGTCTGTAATCTAGTGAAGCATTTTACAGTCTGCAGGATCAAGGCTATAAACAAAATGTGAAATTTCAGTGTGGATTTGTATACACACAGATGTTTGACGCACATGTAAATACAGATGTTGATTTGACGTCCATGTACATAAAGATGTTCATTTGACAAATATGTTTGTGGATATTGAAATTTTGACTGAAATTTTTGATACCATGGCCTGGAATTTAAAACTGATGATACTTGATGAGGTTTGATAATATGTATTGACGTTCTTTGTGGAAATTATACAATGGTGGCTGGTCCACCTCAGTTGTTTGTGTAAATACAGTGCATAAGTAGTTAATGTGATCAAGTAGGAACATTGGGTAACATTTTGTCTAACAATTTCCTGTTTAAAGATTGCGTTACCATATCTTGTTATAAAATGTTGTTTATCATTTCTCTCTTTTGAAGATTTTGTTCATTGTTTTCTATTGTAAGTTTATGTTTCTAGATCCTATCTAGAGAATTTGTTTCTCTTTTGATTCCTGTCATAAGATTCTATGTATCCTTTCTCATATATTGTTTTTGGTATCTGACTGTGATTCCTGCTCTAGATAACATATTGGGAGTAAAATATACAAAAAGTTGAATAGACACAATGTTTATGTAAGACTAATAATAAAGTATTAGAATGAATAGTCAAATATAATATAAATTTAAACTAATATATCATTTAAGAGTAAATGTTGTATTCCCAACATTGAAGAGTTATCTCCCCTTTACTGTGGTGTAAAATAAGTTCTTTGATCAGATGTTTGATTGAAGTCAAGTGATTTTAATGAGTATTGGCATGATTTATTTTGAAATTTAAAAGTAAGATTGTAAATTAAACTGAAAATTCACAATGTAAACATTTCTGGTAAGCAAAATCAATATTTTAAATGAGGCTGATGAAACGTTGATAAATTAAATCAGGCTGTTTAAATACTGACCACTAAAATCAAGCTGATGAAAAAATTAACATGTAAATCAAGCTGATGAAAAAATGACCATTTGTAGCAATTCCAATAGGAAGGCATGGTAGTCTAGTGGTAGGATGCTGGGCTCATGACCGAAGGGTTGCGGGTTCGAGTCACGTCAAGTCAAGTCACTGTGTTGTATCTTTGAACAAGATACTTGACCCCGCTTGTTTCAGTCTACTCGGCTGTAAATGAGTATGTGGTTGAGCAGTGCTAGAATTGTTAAATGCTAGCTGTGAGCGCCGAAATGGCAGCACCGGCTGTATGCTCCCCATGTAGTTGAGACAGATATTGGCTGGTTGCAAATGCCCTGTAACCACGGATAATAATTTGTGAACAGCTTTGAGATGACCTACGAACTAGGTTGTGATAAAGCGGTATATAAGAACCTTGAATTATTAATTATTATTATTACTATTAATAAGAAAGGAAATGATAACAGATCACTCCATCTGTAATGAAGATAGACATTTTCAGACTGTTTTATAGGTCAAGAACTCTAATTAAGAAAAGCATCATTCTCCTCCTTTAACTTCTTACCCCTCAAATTGGCATTTGTTTGCTTGTTTTTTTAACGATTTTTATGTTATTAATGTAGGATTTGTTTATGTAGTTTTTTGTATTATGGTGAATACTGTTTTAGTGAACTCAAATTATAGCTCATTGTTGATGAATATTTTCCACATTTGTTTAAAGCCTTTTATTCCATCCATTTAGTGCAATGGTATGCAAATATCACTTTTTCTTTCACCAATAACAGCATATAAGGTGGCAGTACCCAAATCGGATCAGTACCCAAATCGGATCACTTTTTGCAAAAATACTTATAAATTAATAAACGTGTCAGCAAATCAGTTATAACGATGATGTAATCTTAGAATAGATAGCCATGCACCATTTTTTGTCTACAGGTGATTTGTTTTTAAATTCAAATAGCACAAGAAAACGTAATTCAAACTCAAATGTCAGTGTTTTGATTTCGTTTATAAAAAATGGCGCGTGCGACGACTATGCATAAAGTTTTGGACTAAAATAATAAATTCACACTATAGAAATACTTTTTGTCATATAAATTCTTAAGGTCATCATAAAATGTTAATATGCTGACAAAAAAATATTCATTTGAAGCGTAAGATACTGCAAAATTCAAGCCTTGATCTGATTTGGGCCCTGACATTCGCAAAAACCGGAGACGCTGATTGGTGACTTCAGAGCGTTCTATAAATATCTCAAGTGAGCCCCGGGTGCTAATTTTGATTGTAAGAACACCCATTGATATCCTTCTTTTGATACAACCATAAATGAATATAATTCCTCCTCAGATTTTTCAATGATTTAATAAAATGATGGTTTGGTGATCTGATTTGGGTACTGTCACCTTATCTGTCTACACCTTTTATGCTGCTACTGTATTTAATACACTGAATTGTGTCTGGATCATTGGGTGTATTTATGTATTTTATATATTGCTACATAGATTGTATTAACTACAGTAGTTGTAGATATTTACTTAAGAGCTGGGTCTCCATAATATTTGACAGCTGGATCTGTATTGTAAAAAAATGAATTTGTTGTCAAAACAAAATGATTTGTAAATTTGGGTTTATATTTAATTCATCATTCATATCATAAACAGTAAATTTCTTTTAATATCATGGGTCACTTTTCAGAGGAAGTTGTGATATAAAGTGAACAGTGACATTAATGTTAATCTACTGTAAATGAAAAGGTCACAAAATATTTCGGAAGAAAATGGACCATTTCTGTTGATTAAAATAAGATATAATAATCTGTCTCTTTTATATTTAGTAATTTGAATCCGTCCAGATGAATTAATACCTTTTTCGCTTATTACAATAATATTGTTAAAATTTAAAATTTTGATGCAAATAAAATTCTTCCAAGAAGCTTGGTTTAGTTTTTCATCATAGGTACTTTTCACAAGATGGCTCATCTTAAAGGTGTTATTTGACCGAGAAAGTAGAATGGAGTCAATATTTATATCAGTTCTTTTAAAGAAGTTGAAAATGTGTTCACAAATCGGACCCCAGGACGACTATTTTGAGTCTGTCCCTAACATATTGGTAAGAACCGTTTTGTCAACTCCTCTTTAGGAACATTTCTGCATGTAAAATTATAAATGGCTACATATCGCCAACTTTGGCCTACTGGTTATTCAGATGAAGTTGTTTAAAGATTTCAACATATTTGACCCCTGTGACCTTGAATATGTGTAAAGGGCATTCAATTAACAAGCTTGGTAAACCTTCATCCCAGCATGCTACTGGCAAAATATCATTACCCTAGCCATTTTGGTATTCTGAAGAAGTTGTTTCATGGTTTTTTTAGACAGTTGACCTATGTGACCTTCAATATTGGTGAAGGTCATTCATTTGAACAAACTTGGTAACTGTTCCTCCAAGCATGCTACTTGCCAAATATCCTTTCCCTGGACCTTTTGGTTATTCAGAGGAAGTTGTTTAGAGTAAAACGTTGATGCCGAACAGACGGCCAGGTGAGGTAACAATAGTGTTCAGCATTTGTTAACTGTTTGTTGTCCCGATTTGCATGACCTCTCCTGTCACGATCTGATTACGACATCATATTGGATTGTTTCCGTGAAAAAGTCATAGTACGACAGATTGCGAGAAGAAATAACACTGTCAGTAACATCAGTCAGTCATCCCTATTTGAGTTTAGTTGAATTGGCCAATTAGAATTTGAGATAAGGTTTGAAATATATTTTCAAAATGGTGGCTGTAGCAGGGGTATTGGATTTTTGATTGATCTGAAAATAACAACACTTTGTCAAAGTATCAATGAAATCCCTTCAAAGGTATTGCAATTTAAGTTGAGAATATGAAATGTTAATGGACAAAAACAGGTGACCTAAAAAGTTTATCCCTGAGAGATGACGGATGAAACACCTTGCATCATGGCAGAAGCTCATTGGCACTCTGTACCAGGTGAGAGAATAAAAATGACAAAAACATTGGTGGACTTTCAACGATTTATTATCAGACTGTCACTAGAGACAGTTCTAGACAAAGAAAATATAAGAGTGGGTCTATGGATACATATGTAATAGTGTTTGTAATAATATTGTCGGTTCTACACCACTGTTATTAATTAGTATATGTTATAATCGTCGTAACACTAGGAACCAGACCAAAAAAAATCTATCACATAAGATGAGCATGAGAGACTATGATCTATGTTACCACTACAACAGTTTACAGGGAACGGACTGTGCATGAGGGACACCTTTATACAGGGGGTGGCGACCACATGGGGAATCCACCTGACGTCTCAAGTCCACAAAAAGATATTCTGACAATACTCTACAAGTGTTAACACTTACTGATGATGGCTGTTTAAAACAGAACATGATACAAACACCTGGTCAATACAAACTACTTCTCTAACAGTTGGAAATATTGGTGATATACGACCAAAAACCTGGATATCATGATAAGAGAACATTGATATTTATAGATTAAATCTAGTTGCAAGGACTGTCGCTTGAAAAAAGAATATTATTTCTTAGCTCAGGTCCTGCTTTACATATACATAAAGAGATTCTATACAGTGACACATGTTTACCAACATCTAATTAGGATTGAATCATTTAGTCGGATATAAAGGTGTGTTGTAATTAAGATCATCATGTCAGATATTACATGACGTCCATTGAAGTCTGGCGTTAGTAAAGTCAGGAGATGGTAATACCGTAGATAAAATCAGGTACCGGTAAGATCAGGTGACTGTTAGGTCAGATGTTGGTAAAGTCAGGTTTCAATGTACATTTATTTCCTTCACACCACGATGAATGTTTAAAAATCGCTTTCAATAACACTTTACCCAATAAACATGATACGAGATTCTATTTTAAAGGTTTAAGATATTGATATCTAAGATTGGAATGTTTTGTAAAGAACAGAAACAAAGATCTACAATGCACTGGTAGTTACATATAACACCTCGCTAACCACTCATGGTCCCTATATTTATAACATTACACCTCACTGACCACTCATGGTCCCTATACTTATAACATTACACCTCACTGACCACTCATGACCCCTATACTTATAACATTACACCTCGCTAACCACTAGTGGTCACTATACTTATAACATTACACCGCACTGACCACTCATGGTCCCTATACTTATAACATTACACCTCACTGACCAATGGCGGTCCCTATACTTATAACATTACACCTCACTGACCACTCATGACCCCTATACTTATAACATTACACCTCGCTAACCACTAGTGGTCACTATACTTATAACATTACACCTCACTGACCACTCATGGTCCCTATACTTATAACATTACACCTCGCTAACCACTCATGGTCCCTATACTTATAACATTACACCTCACCGACCACTCATGGTCCCTATACTTATAACATTACACCTCACTGACCACTAGTGGTCCCTATACTTATAACATTACACCTCACTGACCACTCATGGTCCCTATACTTATAATATTACACCTCACTGACCTCTCATGGTCCCTATACTTATACCACTCATTGGTTTCTATAACATTAAACTTAATCAGTGTTATAATACATATGAATAACATCAAGTATTACATAATGGAGGTTGATTGAAAAAATGTTATATTTTAAGTCAATATTGTGACCATTATATATTTACTAACAGGAGAAATGCCTATGTACACTTGATGAATTTAATGTTTTAACATGACTTAAAGATCAGAAGGAAAATCAAAGCCAAAGTTTACATTATGTGGGAAGTTTTGACAAAAAAAAAAAATGAACAAAAATCAGCTGTATTTGTCTGGGTCTTTTGATTAGACAAATTTCCTTTTGTAGGGTGAATTGGAATGGATGTGTTACATATTTGGAATGGAAATTATGTAATACAAGTTTTGTGAAAGAGTTTAGCTCTAAGAGTAATGGGTCAAGGTCATGATAATAATGTATAACCTCACAAGGTTTCCACAGAACCTTTTTCTGTTTAGGGAATGAATTCAAGGTTTGTATAATAAGGTATATCATAAAACAATGCAAGTTTCTAAAGAATGTATATTTTAATAAGGAATGAATTAAAGGTTTGTAAAATAAGTCGCATCTTAAACAATGTTTTGGAGTTCACTAGGGTAGGTAGTCCAGGTCATACACAGCACACAAATGTTGCCTGACGTGGTCTACACTTTGGAATGATTGTAAATAACTAGTCTCTTCAATAAGAATAGGTTAAATTATTAAAAGTAAAATAAAACAAAATATTTCACAACCTAATAAATCTATAGAGCTATAACAACAAAGGCAAGTAACAGGATTATATATAAATACCATGTGGATTTCAACACCATGTGTACAAGGAACACAATCAAGAGACATCTGTCTGTTACATGTCTGACAACCGAGATACATTTTGCTTTTGCCGTACATGTTTCACAACCAAGATAAATCTAGCACAGACATTTAAAACAATTGAGAGAGAAACAGCTCTTAGTTGTGATGAATAAATCCCTATGCTTTAATACTCATCAGAAGAAAATCTATCCAGATAAGAAAAATCAAGCATTAATTTCAACAGTAACACACATGAAATCGCATATTGATATTGCAGCAAAATGTCTTCCTCAAAGTGAACAATTGAGGCAAACTTGGCAGTTTATACACTGCTCTGACGAGACAGTGACTACTTACAGTGGATTTCAACATTGTCTATATCAGACAGGGGTACTTTATTGTCACAAATAACACGGATATATTGCACTTTTGTGGATATTACTTGCACTCTTTTCATGTTCTGCTATGAAACACATTCCCCATTGAATTTTGAGATTGTACTCTTTTTTTCGTTAACCTTCCCATCTCATACTAACTGTTGGATTAAGCTGCAATAAAGTCCTTCAATCATATATGACTATAGCAGGATTTCATTTATCCAAGCAGATTCTGTTTTTCTTTTAAATGAAACAGCTGAAAACTCTTTTCAACAAATACAACGTACAGTGTAGATATGGACTGAACTGTCCATTTTAAGAACGCATCTCAATGAACACAATTATATAGATTGTAGAAAGAAATATACAAAGAACAGTAACAAAATCAAGCAGTAAGAAAACTTAATTATCAATGATAATGTAAATGCATTTTTCTCGTGTCACAGACAAGTATTTGTCTGGTATATGTCATGATACTGAAGGCAGAACTCTCTCTGTTTCAGTTCAGATATTTAACATGTTCTGACAAAATCAGAGGATTTCATAAGATGAAAAATATGTTTTTGAATACAGTTTTCTGTCACAGTAGGTATTAATACATAATTCTCAAACACCTTGACAGAACTTCCAGCTTGCTGAAATAACAGCTCAATTCCTTATAAAGGAATTTACAAAAAAAAATTTTTAGATACAGTATTTATACAGTAAAACCTCTATATAATGACTCTCGTTTCCTTTCAAGGTCCCAATTTGCTTTCTTCAAAGAAACAATTCCTTAAATTCACATCTCTTTCAATATATTGCCAAAACCCTCATAAGGTTTTACTGTATAATTATGTAATCTGTTGGTTAATAATGAAGATTTTTAACAGCTGAGAAAAGAAGGAAGTCTGATCCTTTGGCATGTAGGTGGTTTATATGCACAATACATTATAATCGAAAAACAAAAATGAATGGAATGCATGAGAGAAAAATATACAAGGATGAATGTTAGCAATATTACATGAAATCTAAAGTGATTTGTCTAATTTGTCAGCACAACTGGGATGCACAATGATACATCTATGGTATACTCAGCTAACCACATGTGGCTCTCTGATACACATATAACATCTACCTGGAACACACAGCGCCATCTACACAACTACATATATAATGTAGTATTTTCACCTCAGATCATCAATCTTCCTCCAGTGTGCCTTACATCCGGTGGGTCACTATGGCAACCACACAACACAGAGCTCTAAAGCTGTCAATAGACAAGAGATGTGCACGATTTCCACGTATGGTTACCTTGTCGACCGATACAAGATGGAAGCCACACCTCTTACAGTCATGGAAGGGGAGGTAATCAAGAATATGGGCAGGCCAGACCTCCAAGGGGAGATAATGCATGTTCCAAAAATGCAGTGACAATATACAACAAATTTCCTAAAAACTGTGGATATTCATCATTTTACACATTTACAGTTGAAATGTTGACAAAGGATCTTCACATGATCATATTGGGTATTCTTTAAAAGTGACAATTTATAATCCAAAAACCACTTCATTTTGGCAGATCAGGACTTTGTACAACTATTTGTGTCAATATTTCAAAGGTAGTCGTACCTGTTAACATCAGAATACCTATAGTAACTCTAAGTGTGGTATAACTGCTATACAGACTGGCCAGCTCCCATGTCTGATCTGAGCATGTTCCTCAAATCAATCTCTAGTCTAAGGGACCTAAGTCTCAGTACTGACAAACTTTGTAGTGCTGATTGACCAATAAGAATGACCAGTTCAAGTTACTAACATATCCCAGTACTAACTAGTCCTTAGCACAGTTCCAGGTACTGACAAATCTCTAGAACTGATCATTCCCCAGTACACCAGACCAGGAAAACAAGTGTAAATTACTGTCATCAGTACACTAGAACATTATCAAGTACTGAGGATAATTTCAGGACTGATCAGTACAGACCATAAGAACTGACCAGCTCTACTTTTGACCACTTCTTATACCTACCACAGGACTGACTGACCCCTGCGGTATCTGACATACCCATAAACTGAGCTAGCTCACAAGATTCTTTAACTACATGGGGCAGTTTTTCCACATGATGAGGGCAGAAATGTGCATGTGTCCAAAACATGAAATAACCACTATCACCTATTTTGTAAACATATCATGTGAGAAACAGATCGTACACATCACACAGTGTCCTCAGTTATCTGCCCCTGTCGGACACTTAACACTGACATCCTCCCTGTTGTGGGTTGGTATTCTCTGTCAGCCTCGTTCCTTTTGTCTGGCTGTTGATCAGGGATGGGTCAGAATCCAAACTTTCTGACATTTTGTCGCAAATGATATCTACCAATCTTTCAAATACAGCTTTCACGTTGATATTCTCTTTAGCTGATGTCTCGAAAAACTCCAGTCCTGAAAATAGCAGGCAAAAAAATACATCAAACAAACATTATTATTATTATTATTATTTATAGCAGAAAAATTAAAACATTTATTGCAGCAGTGAAAAGCTTTAAAACATATCCTCTACAAATATAGTCATACATGTGCAGCAAAATACAACACTTACCAAATGTATTACAAAAGTAAAACTAACATTTAACATTAGTATTTTACACAATGGCAGGATATCATGTTTCTATCCTTCATTAATCACCTCAGTATAACAGAGGCATTGATCAGTTTTCTCTATAGACTAATTATTGGCTTTATCTATGAATTAATTGATAACACAAAAGGAGCAAAAAGGAAAAACAGACTAGGAATGGCTACAACAGCAGCATTAGTCATAAATAATTAACAGAATAGTAACATAATTAGTCATAAATATTCATCTACAGAAAACAATACATATACAAAATAGACACAAGACAACATTTATAAGGATTACATTTCTCCATTAATCATCTGAAGCATTCAACAGCCCTGTCAGATTTAAATCAGCAGTATGAATAATGACTGCTAGCATTAAAACCTGGAAAGAAAATTCAATAGACAAAATTCCTGGTGCTGCAAATATGTGGCTTCAAGCTGTTCTAACTACATAGAGGGTCAACAAACAAACCTGGGACTGAAAAAACATGGATTCACACCATCCTACAAGTATCAGTCAACAGATATTCCTGGTGATGAAGACATGAGGCTCCACACCGTCCTAATGACAAGTTCCAGTCAACAGACATTTCTGGTGATAACACAAGGGGTTCCACACCACCCTAACTACATAGAGGGTCAACAAACAAACCTGGTGGTGAAGACATGAGGCTCCACACTATCCTAACTACGAGTACCAGTCAACAGACATTCCTGGTGATAACACAGAGGCTCCACACCATCCTAACGACAAGTACCAGTCAAAATATATTCCTTGTGGTGAAGACATGAAGCTCCACACTATCCTAACGTCAAGTACCAGTCAACAGACATTCCTGGTGATAACACAGAGGCTCCACACCGACCTAACGACAAGTACCAGTCAAAAGATAATCATGGTGGTGAAGACATGAGGCTCCACACTATCCTAACTACAAGTACCAGTCAACAGACATTCCTGGTGATAACACAGAGGCTCCACACCGACCTAACGACAAGTACCAGTCAAAAGATAATCATGGTGGGGAAGACATGAGGCTCCACACTATCCTAACTACAAGTACCAGTCAACAGACATTCCTGGTTATAACACAGAGGCTCCACACCGTCTTAACGACAAGTATCAGTCAACAGACATTCCTGGTAATAACACAGAGGCTCCACACCATCCTAACGACAAGTACCAGTCAACAGACATTTCTGGTGATAACACAGAGGCTCCACACCATCCCAACGACAAGTACCAGTCAAAAGATATTCCTGGTGATATAACAGAGGCTCCACACCATCATAACGACAAGTACCAGTCAAAAGATATTCATGGTGGTGAAAACATGACACTCTAAACCGTCTTAATGACAAGTACCAGTCAACAGTCATTCCTGGTGATAACACAGAGGCTCCACACCATCCTAACGACAAGTACCAGTCAACAGACATTTCTGGTAATAACACAGAGGCTCCACACCGTCTTAACGACAAGTATCAGTCAACAGACATTCCTGGTAATAACACAGAGGCTCCACACCATCCTAACGACAAGTACCAGTCAACAGACATTTCTGGTGATAACACAGAGGCTCCACACCGTCCTAACGACAAGTACCAGTCAACAGACATTACTGGTGATATAACAGAGGCTCCACACTATCCTAACGACAAGTACCAGTCAACAGACATTCCTGGTGATAACACAGAGGCTCCACACCGTCCTAACGACAATTACCAGTCAAAAGATATTCCTTGGGGTGAAGACATGAGGCTCCACACTATCCTAACGTCAAGTACCAGTCAACAGACATTCCTGGTGATAACACAGAGGCTCCACATCGACCTAACGACAAGTACCAGTCAACAGACATTGCTGGTGATAACACAGAGGCTCCAACCCGTCTTAACGACAAGTACCAGTCAACAGACATTGCTGGTGATATCACAGAGGCTCCACACTATCCTAACGACAAGTACCAGTCAACAGACATTACTGGTGATATAACAGAGGCTCCACACTATCCTAACGACAAGTACCAGTCAACAGAAATTCCTGGTGATAACACAGAGGCTCCACACCATCCTAACGACAAGTACCAGTCAAAAGATATTCATGGTGGTGAAAACATGACACTCTAAACCGTCTTACTGACAAGTACCAGTCAACAGACATTCCTGGTGATAACACAGAGGCTCCACACCATCCTAACGACAAGTACCAGTCAAAAGATATTCATGGTGGTGAAAACATGACACTCTAAACCGTCTTACTGACAAGTACCAGTCAACAGACATTCCTGGTGATAACACAGAGGCTCCACACCATCCTAACGACAAGTACCAGTCAAAAGATATTCATGGAGGTGATAACACAGAGGCTCCACACTATCCTAACGACAAGTACCAGTCAAAGATATTTATGGTGGTGATAACACAGAAGCTCCACACCATCCTAACGACAAGTACCAGTCAAAGATATTCATGGTGATGAAAACATGAGGCTCCACACCGTCCTAATGAGAAGTACTGGTCAGCAGATATTCATGGAGGTGATAACACAGAGGCTCCACACTATCCTAACGACAAGTACCAGTCAAAATATATTCCTTGTGGTGAAGACATGAAGCTCCACACTATCCTAACGACGAGTACCAGTCAAAGATATTTGTGGTGGTGATAACACAGAAGCTCCACACTATCCTAACGACTAGTACCAGTCAAAGATATTTATGGTGGTGATAACACAGAAGCTCCACACCATCCTTACGACAAGTACCAGTCAAAGATATTCATGGTGATGAAAACATGAGGCTGCACACCGTCCTAATGAGAAGTACTGGTCAGCAGACATTCCTGGTGGTGAACACATTAGGCTCTACACCATTCTTTCCTGGTGGTGAAAACATGAGACTCCACACCATCCTAACTGCTTGTACCAATCAACAAACATTAATGGTGCTGAAAACACCATCCTAACTATGGTAATGAAAACAAGAGGCCCAGAGGGCCTGCATCGCTTACCTAGATATCTAAGCAATCATGGCAAAATATTCTCCAAAAGAGATCCAAGGGAATATGCCAGACCCCAATTCCTATTCTTGTAGTATGTCTGTATTATATTTTTCCTGCCCAGCAATTTAATGTATGGTTATGGGGTGGGGATCTTAACTGTTTCCAAGCTGCGACTCAGAAACTAGATCACTAGGGTTGTGGCCAGACCCCAGGATCAATTCTAATATCATGACTGCATTCGTCTCTTTATGCCCAACAATTGTATATATAGTTTTGGGGTGGGGAAGTAATGACCCAGGGGTTAAGTCTCCAAGGATGGGGTAGTCCCCAAGGCCATCCTGGAAGCATATGTGCATTCATCTCATTATACTCAGCAATTGTATATGTAATAGAGTGGGGATCTCAACTGTTTCCAAGCTGTGACTAAGAAACTAGGTCCCTAGGGGTTCGGTCAGACCCCAGGGTCTATTCTAATACCATGACTACTTTTGTCTCTTTATGCCAAGCATTTGTATATTTAGTTCTGGGGTGGGGATCTCAACCGGTCAAATATGGTTGATATCCATCTCTTAGTTCCAGAGAAGAAGTCGCTTAAATCAATATAGCCCAATTTCCCCCTTTTGGCCCCGCCTCTCAGGTCACTGGGGGGCCAGACCCACGGTTTATCCAAATTGGTTCCCCTTCATCCAAGGATGCTTCAGACGAAATATGGAACAAGTCCTTTCATTCCTACAGAATAAGAAGGATTTTATAGAATTTGCTATGTTTCCCAATTGGGCCCGACCCCCCAGGCCCCTCAGGGGCCAAAACCCTGGTGTATACAAAATTGTTTCCACTTTGTCCAAGGATGCTTCATACTAAATATGGAAGAAATCCTTTCATTCTTACAGAAGAAGAAGGATTTTAAAGAATTTACTGCGTTCCCTATTGGGCCCCGCCCCTCAGGCCCCTTGGGGCCAGACCCACGGTTTATACAAAATTAGTTCCCCTTACCCTAAGGATGCTTCATACTAAATATGGAACAAATCCTTTCATTCCTACAGAATAAGAAGGATTTTAAAGAATTTGCTATGTGTTCCCTATTGGGCCCCGCCCCTCAGGCCCCTTGGGGCCAGACCTACGGTTTATACAAAATTAGTTCCCCTTACCCCAAGGATGCTTCAGATTGAATTTGGAACAAATCCTTTCATTCCTACTGAAGAAGAAGGATTTTAAAGAATTTGCTATATTTGTTACCCTTCCCCTAAGGATGCTTCTGAAATTTGGTAAAAATCTGCTCAGTCGTTTATGACTAGTAGCGATTTTTAGGAAAAGTTGACAGACGCCGGACGCCGCGCCATGGCATAAGCTCACTTGCCCTTCAGGCAGGTGAGCTAAAAAGAATGTAGATACACATGTATTGCAGTTTAGTTTTGAGGAATTTGTCAGTTGTGCCTTTTCTTAGCAAGAAAACATGTAAAATGAAGTAAACAGTTACAAAAAAGCAATCATGCTTCTACTACAGACTGGCTGACATTTCAGTTGCTATTCCCTGCACACACTTCACTCTCCAGCTTCAGCTAGTTCTATCACACAAATATCACCCTAGGCCCTAAACCAAAGTTTGTCCATGTAATTGAACTGAACTGTAAAAGAGCTATCTCCCCTGGTAACAAGACAGTATCAAGTTTAGCAAATACACAATGCCCTAGTATTTTATTCAGCAGAATTATAATACAAGGAATGGGACTGTATCACCTCAAAATCAACCCGGCAAAAAAAACCCACTCTTTAATCATTTTCCTGCAAAATAGCTGAAAACCTGAATTGATGCAGTT